CAACAGCCATCACTCTCCTCTTCATCGATAGACTTGGTCGTCGCCCACTATTCATCTACGGTGCTATTGCAATGGGATCACTCAACTTCGCCGTTGCTGGGTTGATGAAGACTGGAGGTCACTCGGTCACCAATGTCGCCGATAACTACAACATCAAATGGCAGGTAGAAGGAAGCTATGCCACAGGTGTTATCGCATGCAGTTATCTTTTTGTTGCATTCTACGGATTGACATGGGTATGTATCTACGCAATTGTAGACGGATGAAGTTACTAGAAACGAACATGCTAATACGGAAAAACAGGCTCCGTGTGCGTGGGTCTTCATCTCTGAAATCTTCCCACTTCAGTACCGTGCCAAAGGTGTTGGTCTCGCCACTGCCGCCAACTGGATTTTTAACTTTGCGCTTGCATACTTTGTCCCACCTGCGTTTAAGAACATCCAATGGCGTACTTACATCATGTTTGGTGTATTCTGCTTCTGCGGTGTCGCGCACAGTTTCTTCATGTTCCCAGAGGTTCGTTACTCAGTGTTATCCTTCATTTGTCCCGAGCTCCGATCTAACATGAAATTTCTACTTAATAGACCGCCGGAAAAACTCTTGAGGAAATCGACTATCTCTTCGGGAAGGGTATCCCTGCATGGAAGAGTGCAAAGGTGAACTCAAGACTTGATGAAAAGGTTGGCGACCTTGAAAATAATAAACCTGGCCATGACGATGGGCAGTCTGAGAAGGGTGCTGCGACGACAGTCGAGAGCTCTCACTAAAATAATTTCTGTGCTTTTTTTTGTCCGTTTTACGCATGGAATTTTGGCGGGTTATTCGCGATTTTCATTTATTCGTTCTAGCTAGCTACGTGTAGTGCTGGTATGACATGACTTCAAATTAAAAAGTGCAACTTTCGGTTGTATCTTTGTTTATAATTACTTTTGGATTGCGCCGTTCCTCCTCACTGATGTCGTTACTGGCATATGCGTGATAACATGTAGCAAGATCAAAAGCTATCAACACGTATACAAAGTAGCAAAGCTGAATTCGATACCAACTCCGGTTACATTATTCGTCCGTGGCTGCAAATTGACCAACTGATCAAAAACCCGCATATTCTCTTACAGTGAGTGTCCCCGGGTTGACACCGAGGCCTCACCCGATCCGACCCAAACGAATATATACCCCCATCCCCACCTACTCCACTTAGCCACCCGACCTACCCGTCCCAGCGCCAGCACATTTAGCAGTACCCGGGTTTAAAGGACCGGGTATGGCGGGTATACCGTCGTCACGTCCGACATACGCATTAATTCTTATTTCCTTCATCGTGCATATATGTTCTCTTTCTAAACAGTAATCTTCCTCGTCGTCCCTAAGAAGCATTTCCATTAGTTTATTCCACCTGAGTTGAGATATCGATAATGGAATTTCACTTCCAGCTCGGAAGGGGATTCAGCATGTATCTTTGGGCCACGCGCCAGGCCATGCAAAAATCAAGCTAACGCCTGGTTGGGATCATGCAATATCACTCGGTCCGTCCTTTAATTTTCTCTTTTTTTTTTTTTTTTTTTTTTTTATTCACGCGGCACAAGAAGCAATTGTATTCAAGCCCATTTCCATGTGATAAGACCGGAATTAAACTGCTCAGAATACCTTGTGGTTGTGGCAACTCAATATCGAAGCAGTATGGTATTCTCATCTTGGCGGGCGATCTTGCGCTCCCATTTCCATCTATTTAATTTTTGTCAATTAGAATATTCGCGCTTATTTCCCAATGTGCTTGGTTTATGATGTACTGACCGCGTGCACCAGGGAAAGCCCACTGTAATTGAATCACAAATTCTCACTCGGGCCAGATTTGTGTGTAACGTGCTACGCTTAAATCCGCTTAATAACATCCAGTCATGTCAGAGACACATAGCTTAGCGAATGTTACTTGTTCTTTGCACTAAACCAAACTCAAGGATATATGCTAGCTACATGTACCCACCCCAATCTGAAGACGTGCTAAGACGGCGCCCGCCGAAAATGCAAGCCAATGTTTGCAGAAAACCTTCTTGGTAGACCGCCGACAGCACCGGCGCCCATAACTCGTACGCACCTGTGGGTCCAGCAGAAGACATCCGCGTCACCCACTTTTGCGGCCCAGTCACGTCTCAGTCCTACTACAAGTCAGACCTCCAACACAGGACGATCAACCGCATTACAAGCCCGCCTCGAAGCTATCCGAATCAAACGCGGCAACGGATCTACTACTTCACGGGTAGGTCCAAACTCACGAACTGCGTAGCGCTCCAAACCCTTTCGAGTCCCCAGTCCTCACGTTTCGAGCCGAGTGATAATCCATGATCACACCCATCAAAGCCGACCCGATCCATCTGCTCCTATCAGGCCCTCGGTAGCACCCAAGACCTAACAGGGACAGAACGGAGCGAGACAACCTAACGCAAAAAAGCCCCCTCCTCTTCATACGAAGAGGAGAGGGCAGGGAAAACGACTTGACGCAAAAAAGCCCCCTCTCCTTCTTTTGAAGGAGAGAGGGCCAAAAGCAAAAAAAAAAAAAAAAAAAAAAAGGAATTTAAAAAGAATTAAGAATAACCTCCTCTCTTCCCGTCAAGAGAAAAGAGGAGGTTATAAAAAACTATTCCCCCTCGCTTCCCGCCGGGGGAAGAGAGGGGCCGACAATAAACGATCCCCCCCTTCCCATCAAGGGAAGAGGGGAGCTATAAAAACAAGTCTACCCTCTCCTCCCATCAAGGGAAAAGAGGGGACGTAAAATACTATTTCCCCTCTCTTCCCATCGAGGGAAGAGGGGGGCCGACAATGCTCTCTTCCCCTCTTCCCACTAAGGGAAGAGAGGGCCATAGAAAACTACCTCCCCTCCTCCCATCAAGGGAGGAAGGGGGCATAAAAATCGTTCGACCCTCTCTTCCCATCAAGGGAAGAGAGGATATAAAAATCTACACCCCCCTCCCCCGTCGGGGAAGAGAGGGGCCATCAAAGCCTATTCCCCTCTCTTCCCATCAAGGGAAGAGAGGGCGGGAAGAACACGCCCCCCAAAAAAAATCTATCAACAAACCCCTCCCCTTATCAGGGATGGGGGCAGGCATCGACCCCCCCTCAAGTTGAGGGCCAAGGGAGCCGATGTAGTACCCTCCCTTTTCCAGGGAGGGCCGGAAGCGAGCTGGCGGACCAGGGCAACCGTCTCTACCCCGAGAGGGGGCAGAGAGATCCTTATGTTTTTGGAAGAAGAGGGGGAGGGAGAGTGTTTATAAAGACTTGGGTGTTTGGATTTTGGCCGCCGGCGCTCGGCTGTCGTTTAGGTGCGCTTAACGCGTTGGACCGGGAACCCTGTCAGACGCAGAAGCCGGTCGCCACCGTCGTGGGACGGACAACGGACAACGGCAATGAAGAATTATTATGAAGAACATCACGACCAATAGTTAGAAATTGAAAAGAAAAAGTTTGCAACGTGCTTTGTAATGTGTTTAACTTGTGAAAATTCTTTAAAGTATTTGTGAAAAGGTGATCAATATATAAGAGAAGGCGGGTGAGGTAGGAGCTTGAGAGCTGAGCAGCGGATGCGAGTCAGTTATACCAATACCTAGCGACAGCTACAACTATCCGATCTTTATTTTTTTCAGAATGCCTTCTGTTAGAACCGATAAACCAAATCCTATTCCTATCCCGTATGATACAGAATCTTTGATTCAACAAGCTATTGCTTCCTATAGGGAAGGCCGATCAACCTCCTTGAGACAAGCCGCATCTGAGCACAATGTGTGCCGGGAAGCTGTTAGGACGAGGTTCAATAGAGTAACAGAAAAGAAGCGAGCTCATGCATCACAGCAGCTTCTTACTACTACGGAAGAGGAGACACTTGTGACATGGTGTCTTCAATATCATGCTTGGGGATACCCTTTGAGGGTGGATATGCTTGCCTCAATGGCGGATTTAATTAGAAGGAAAAGAGATGATGTAGACCCGAGTTTGTTACCAAAAATGGGGTAGAATTGGTACAAACGGTTTATTGGAAGGCATCCTGACCTGAGTTTGATTTACAGCCGTAAGTTGGATCAGTCAAGGGCGATGAACAACAACCCAAAGATTCTTCGGGAATTCTTTGAGCTTTTGAAAAGTGTTGTTGAAAAATATAATATTACTAGTGACCGGACATTCAACATGGACGAAAAAGGCTTCCTACTTGGTTATGCTCAGTCTGCCAAAGTTATCGTTCATTCCTCGAAGAAGTCCTATCGATTTGTTACTCAAGATGGAAACCGGGAATTGGTGACAGTTTTAGAAGGCGTTAGTGCTGCGGGATTTGTGTGTCCTCCTCTTATTATATATAGGGGGTACATCATCAAGTTGGTTGGCATGCCGACAGTGATAAAGTTCCTAAAGACTGGTTATTCGCGACTTCTCCGAAGGGTTGGACGGACAGTGAGTTGGGTCGGGTCTGGCTGGAGCGTTGTTTTGATATTCCTACACGCCAAATTCTTACATCACCATTACAATACCGGCTCTTAATTTTAGATGGTCACGAATCTCATGTTCAGTGGGAATTCATCGAGTACTGTTTGAAGAACAGAATAATCGCTCTCTGTTTACAACCGCATTCAACATATCTTTTACAACCTTTAGATGTTGGCTTATTTTCACCGTTTAATCACTACTATGGGAAAGAGGTTGATGATAGAGTTCAAATGGGCATTACAGGTATCTGAAAACCTTTGTTTTTGCAGCTCTATCAGACAGCGAGGTCAAAAACATTTGTGCAAAGATCAATCAAGAACTCCTTTGTTGAGTGCGGGATCGTGCCCTTCTGTCCTTCAAAAGTACTCAATAAACTCCCAAACTTTGAGGAAAAAACACCGCCCCCGGAATCTCCTACCACTCTCGCAAAACCTCCAACACTTCCTATCACTCCACGGAAACCAAAAGATTTGGAATCGCAACTGAAATCCATATTAGATGACCCGATGATACATGAGCTATCAGATTCCACTATGGACCGCATTAGAAAGATTGCTAAATTTGCAGAGATGGAGTATACATCGAAGTCAGTTCTGATTGATGTGAACACACAACTCAGGAATGCGAATAAGCAGAAGCGTACGCAGGATCAACGGATTTTGTCAAGAACTAGAGTATTGACAGCGGAGGAAGCTCAAGAGCTCAAGCGCAAAGCGGAGCAGAAGATTAGCAAGCCACCCGCCAAAAGAAGAAAGCCAAACTCAATCTCATCAAAACCCGGAACTCCTACCGGGTCTGCAGACATGCAGTACAATTCTCCTTCGATCATATCTCCCACTGTCCCTCAAGCATATCAAAGTAGTCTGGCAACGAGCTCCTTCTACCAAACTCCTACAAGATACTTTAGTGGATCCCAAAGACCAAATGTCCATCTGAATCAAAGTCCTTACCTTCCGTCACCTTCATTCCCTCCTCTGCCTCCTGATGCAAGAGTTTCCGCAAGCAACCCCAACATCATACTCTACCCACCAATCTTTCCTAACCTGAGCCCAACCGCACCTTCATCCAACCGGGCAGATACTGTATCATCTACCAATGTGTCCGCGACGAGAAATGCGTCTGCGCCGAGCGAAATCTCCAGGAGCGATTCCATTGAAGGTAGCGGAGCAGGTCACACTCAATTGCCCTATCAATATCTCAATTAGTATCTAGATAAACTATTAAATAAGGGAGCGGAGTCTTGTAAATACTTTCCTATAAATCTAATTGTAAAATAAAGAATATATCATGATTTAGTTGTCGCTGAGTTGAGGTTCGTTATCGCTGGGTTGAGGTTCGTTGATGTTGATGGAGTGGCGACCGGCTTCTGCGTCTGACAGGGTTCCCGGTCCAACGCGTTAGGGTTGGCGAAGGCAGGCTTGGCGTGGTAGCCTTGGCATGGAGGGAAATTCATGAGATGCATTCGTCCCTGTGAGAAGTTCAACTTTTGTGATTCCTTATCATCCTGACAAGTCCGAGATAACTCATATCTCAGGAGCTCGAGTACGAGTCGAGAGACGGCTCGTACTCACCATAACTACCAATAGCGGTTGCCTCTGCGGCTGATCTTGGATCACCTAAGGTTCACCAACTATCACTCGACCGACTTTGTGACAACTATTATGAAATCAAGATTAGCAGCCTTTACAACCAACGACGGGCACAACAACCGAGCCAGGAGAGTTAACCGCTACCACAAATATACTCCAGAGCGGAGGCAGAAAGCCTGATCTATGAGATATGGGACGCAGCTATGCAGGAATTTATTATACAAGCACCAGCTAGTGTCAATTAAAGATCAGTCGATCCCCCTTATGGACTACAATAATTTTCCTCAAGTAATTCAATCACTAGGACGACCGGTTTGCAGGAAAGACAGAAGGTTCCGGGATCCAAAAACTCTGTTCATCGGGGAAAGGTTTAACAGACAAAAAGATTTGCACGTTTTATATCTAGATGGGTATTAAGTACAATATATCATTCAATACCACAAGATCATAGTTCTTTCGAAAGTATCTTTCGTCTGTGTTACCGGTCAGTAATATCCAGTAAGACTAGAAAAGCCTAGCGGTTCACTTGACAAAACGTAGGATCAAGTTGATGAGGTTCTTCGGCAAAGCTTCCCACATCTTTGTCTCTCTAAGCTATCCATTAAACCGTCAGCCGAAATTAGAACCACTAGCTAGCGGCTCAAACCTGGCTTTATGAAACCAAGTCTTAAATTTTAAAAGTTGTGCCGGTCTTTAGCATATGTGATAGGTCATGAAAGGATTATGTTTTCCGCGCTTCTTATTGTATGTACATATATCGCGATTACTATATGGGTGTCGATCTAGCAAAAGGTACCTGTGTGGCAACTCTACAAGGCCTCATCAGTTCGCTGCCGCACTCTACAGGCTCCAATTGATGGAACCAATGACCGAAAAATTAATTCTGGGCTCTCGCCAAGGTTCTCTGAGCTTTAGGTAAATTTGGAGCTTATCGGTTGTATGGTTCTTCGGAATAAGGATTTGGCTGTGCGGACGGTTTTCCTAGAACGACACCCATATGCATAAAGGTTTTGCAATTTGAGTGCCAATTCTGATTCGGCCTGATGTTTTAAATACAATAAGCTCAAATTCGCACATTTACCCTCTGGGTAGATCCAGATATAGGTACCATATATTACCATCGCTTAAGAATCACGGTATTGTACCTACATGATAGGGTGGTATTCACGGTATTCAATCCGAGGCACTTAAACCCAATTAATGCAACGTGATAGAGAGATTAGCTATTGCTGCGATCGATCGATCCGCTATGGTGGGTATATCATATTGTGCCTACCTACCAAAGTGGCCATAGCTAGTTATATAGGTGTTGCATGCATGCTGTCATCCGGATCGCGGACGACTATAAAACCAGGGATAAATGAATGCGTGACACAATACAAGCACAATACAGGCAACTTTTCATGTGCTTATCGCCTGGTGGGCCGAAACATGCTCGGGATCTGGTGCTCTGCATATTGTACAAACTCGGTGATTTCCTTGCTATATAGGGTAATGATACAGTTGAGGTTTCAACAAGAAACTCCCACAAACAGTAATTTTCGGCCCAAAGTTGCCAAGGCTGTAGAGCACCAGATTCTGAGCAGGTCCCGGCCTACCAGGCGATAATCCTTTGGCCTGCATGGTTTCATAAGTACGTACTCTATATACAGTAAAAGGGGGGATCCTTGGTGTTGTTATTGAACCTATTTCTAGGCATATCTTTGAGTCTTGCAGTCGAAAATATCCTACTTACCTTAAGCCTTCTCAGACCATTTTCAACGTACATACTTGCCAGGCCGGCTGTACACCCATAATATTGGCTACGCCCAATTGACTAAGTACAGTACAGTCAAGGTGGCAACATGCGCAAATTCATGAAATTCAAATAATGTAAGGACAAGAAGAAACTAAAACTACTCCTGAAAACTCCGGGCAGGCAGGCCGGAGTTTCCTTACCTTTTCCCGACCCTTCCCCGTTTGATCTCATATCAATTGAACATGAGAGTTTACAATTCAGACCGATGTTTGAATTGAGGTCGCGCGCTGTGTCCAAAAACAGAAGAGACCGTTTATAATTTAAACCACGGCCGATGAGAGACCTTATGTTTGTTGACCCCGGATCCACACCTCAATATACTTAACTTTAAGCCCATAATGAAAGCAGTTATTAATGACAATCTGAAATTTATCCTAATGTTTTTAAAAAGTTTTTTTCATCATCCTGCTCTACCTTCCTAGGTGGAGATTTAAGGTCTCCAAATCGAGAGTTTTCACCGGTACCTGGAAATGATGAACCTAGGACCGCAAACTCTCGATTATGTGTAGCGGTACATGAATAGCCTAGGTACTAGGTCTACATCGATCGCAAACTCTCTGGCTCCTACACTGGATCGATAGAAATGCGCCCCAGCGCTGCAGGACGAACTTATTGATGTTATAACCTATATACCGTATATAGTAATTCGAATATAACTACGGGGCCGGTCGCACAAGACGTTGAAATTTCCGTATTTGGTTATTTGTCTTGAAATATATATGCCCCCTAATATCCCGGCTTGAAAAGCCAACTTCAACGTCTTGTGTACCCAGTGGTCTATTTGTATGTTCGGACAGTGGACAAGTCCACTTACACATTATGTGCAATATGTGTGCATAACCCTGGGTAGCTAGGGTAGATCTTCAAGGCGCATCATTTTCATGCATGGCTTCCAGATATTACTGCACTTGGTATCCAGTCACACCTTCTCAATTGCTCAATCTTAGGCGAGTAAGGAATTAAATACATGTTTGTTGATCTACTTACCTACAGGTGTCTGCGGCTGGAAGCTAGAATACGTCGACCCCGCGAAAGAAGCAAAATGTGACACGTGATTCATTTTCGAATTTCGGCTAACAAGTTTTTAACATGTATGGATACATGTGTCTATGGTTCTACACTCCTTTCGTGAAGGCGAATCTATCTGTGTTTGCTTCAGAACACTACCAGCCAGCTGGTGATCCCAGTGTTTAGATGAACGTTTTTTAAACAGCGTTAGGCCACAAAAATCAATATACTAAGTACATGCTCAGCCGGCTCTGATCTAGCCATGATGGCGTTATCTATATATGTTAAATACGTATACTTATGTAACTACTCTCCGTACATGAGCTGGTACCCTCACTCCTTTGAACTTTCAGCACGCATTATTCTAGCGATGAGTTTATAATTACTCATCATCGATCGAAGACTCCGTGGCTGAAACGGATTATGTTAGTACCTATACAACGACTTTTGAGAGGGCGTTTGACGAGTCATATATGGGTTGGAATTAAAAGGCACTCCAAGAGGCCGGCCGGCCGCGGGGCAGCTACATGTAGTTATAGGATACATGAACCGCGTACGGACTTGTCTCCTATTGTCAATTATATGTAATCCAGAGTGGGATTGGGGACTCTCCCTAGTCCTTTCATGGCTATTTATAAGACTCTAGACATATTTTCCGCGGTCGTGCATAGAAAATCTTCCGCAAACACTGTCTGGCTTGTGTTCGGTTGCGCCTTAGAAACATTAGGCCTTGTTATATAGTACACTGCAGCTAGGAAGGCCTAAGCGGAAGGAACGGGCTACGAGCTGGGGTATCGTGGCCACATGTAAGCTTTGGAGACATATGTATACAAGTATACTTGTCATGCATCTCCGGCCCCACCAACGATCGAATCAATTCAAAGATTCTGTGATAAGCACCATATAACCTTGTTTTCTATGTTTCAAATTATTAATGAACTTATTTTTTCCTCCGCTCAAAAGCTTATGATCATCAACAGTACAACGTCACGAAAAACCCTTGCAATTAGCCCCAACCAGTGCCAAGAGTTTGTATGCATGTATACAAGTACATACTGCAATCTGTACAAATTTCCATTAAACTGGTAGCCAAATTACGGCGCTAGATGTATATTTTGTGGTGGCGTACTTTATGCGACTGGTCCGCCAATAGCCACAAACTATAACTGTTCATAGGATCGAGTGATGCCTTATGATGCTTGTCCACGGATCATTGATTTGTTGTCCATCACGCACACGTACATCCAACCCGGTACTCCCTGTAGGACACAATGAGTCTCGTTCATACGTTGAGACTAGCTATATGAGACGAATTCAAGGCGAGACTTTCGGCGACCAACCCCAACATACGAGTCCCCAGCCCTCCGGCTAGGGGGTCCCAGAAGTCAAAAAATGAAAAGTTTTGAAAAGGTCAAAAGACGAGTTTTTTTTTATGAGCTGAAAGAGTTATGTACTTTTGAAGCATCTCCCATTAATTTTAAGAGTATCTAGGTGTGCATGTGTTGGTTGTTGGTATTTAAGGGGTTTTAAAGGCTGGACTTGGATCGTCCGTCAGTGAAATGCTGACCCCCCAGAAAAAAGCAAGTTTTGTGTGGCTTTACTAACAGATCTTGTTATATCCAATACAAATTTAATTACTCTATTATAGGGGGTCAGCATTAACGGACCATGGGATAGTAGGGAGGCAGAATTACCCAAAACCTTTGGTGGGGTTTTTCTCGACGGTTACGTCACTAAAGCACCCAAAGTCTTAGTTTCACAAAAACACACCCTTAATCTACATGTAGTTATAACTATATTCACGTAATGATTTTAAGTTTATTGGCTTATTGGGCATATGCACGTTATTGGCTGCTCTTTGTATTCATGTCTCGATCCTTCTCAACGAACTAATGATGAAAACGTGAATATCTGTAAATTATAGAGATGAACCGATGTAATTATGATGATAGTAGTGAACATGAGAAGTAGCCGAAATCTAAACTATTATCCATCGCTTCTGGCCACCTGTTTCCCGCCCGCCTTTTGACTACATGTATGTTTCTGCCCCCGCTTGTCCAATGGTCGTCTTTCTAATCTAATCTATATGGCATCCGCCAGTACAACGTGAGACCTCTATATCTAGGAAATTCCATATTTCTGGTTCTATATACTCTCTACTCGCTCTTTAATTACAGGGTTGCAACCAAATCCCCACACAGAATTCCGACCTTTGAATTAATACGCAGTACGCAGGCCTGATCAATTGAACTTTTGACATGCCGGCGCGGTGCCATAACCTCAACGTTTATCTTGCACGCATTCTTTAGCTTATCGACGTAATAGTTGGATACTGTACTGGCGGATCAATTAGGGATACATATACTGACTCGACATCTTTTAAACGAGCTCGCGTATTACACTGTTTTGTAATAAATTGGTTTTAGTTTTCTTTTGCATTCACGACAACATTTACCCAGCTTAACCGACGTTAAGACCCCGAGAGAACTTAATGCGATCCGGGGCTCGAGAACTTCTGCTCTGGCCGGCAACGATCCCTGTTCGTAATATATAATAAGATTCATCGTTTCCCTCAAAAATATTACAGCACAGCTCTGTTTTTCTAAAGGCACAAAGTGTTTCTACGTACGTGCTGTAACAGGCTTGATGAAAACTAATAACATCAGCCGGAGCACATGTCCAACTGACTGTATGTACAGACAGTATCGGAATCGCAGCCTAGCTTTTATTAAGAGAGATTCAGATATGTGGGGAATTCTATGCAGCAGGAGAATCAGTTGTTTTACTAGTTTGAACGAAGTATAGTAGTGCTTATCGGCCGCGGGTCGGATTAGTCCCGGGTGTTAGATGTCATAAAATCACGGATCATATTACTAGTGTTGGTATAAATAATCCACGAGCGTATCCATTTTTCATTAGAACCCACAGTCAAGAATACACTCAAAACATTGAAAATTCAACAAATTCCAACACCGCACACTATCCTTAAAAATCCATGCCGCCCGCAAAAGCTCCCCAGCCTATCTTCGTTGCATCCACCGGTTCCAAATCCACCAAGGACGTTTCTCAAAAGGGAGACGAAGTCTCCGCACGCCCTATCGAGCCTCCGAGTAAGTTTGTATCTCCATTTTTGCTCTTAAATAGACTGCTAAAATGGTTAGAATCTCTAGCACCAAAGTCCAGTGTGATGCTAGAGAGATATCTTCAGCAAGATTCAGGCGATGATCCTATTGTTGTGTTCAGGGGATAGGAGAAATTATTATGTCAATATCGCTTGCCATAACGTTGCATTTGTTCATTTCTGGGATTTTATATGTTTTTTGGGTCGTAAAGTTTGCTCAGGAGGTGCCCCTAGAAGATATATCATGAGTCTTGTCTGCAACCAATGTACGGTAAATCTGTGTGATGTTACTGTACGCTTGAATCATACTTTGTGTCAGTGTTCTTTTCTTTCAGTCGATACTAGCGCTGCGAACTATATCTGCTCAATAAGCACTGGATTTTATGCAACTCTTCTTTCAGGTCCCCACAAAGCCTAATCTGATATTGGAACTAGATTCGCTTGATATATCTAAAGTCGAACAGCAAAATCTAACGGGACACGTATACACCGAGGGTAACTATACATGCAGCTAACACATCGATCGCTGTATATAGCAGGAATAAACACAAGTACACTGTACACATACCTGAATTGTGGTATCCGTCTAGTCTCGTACCCAGCCCGTTACTTGCAGCAACGTCCCTGGAAGCATGGAAGTAGACGGGTTGGGGACGAGCCTAGTATCCGTCTATTATGAGAGAGTATGCAGAGCGCTAGTTGTAGGTACAAGCGAGAAGTGTATATGTTGGTCTTGTCACGTGTGTCTTGGCATTGGGCCACATAGAGACTTGACTGCAGGAAGCGGTAAAAAAATAATCGTTAGGGGAGACTCAAATAAGGCAAATATTACTGTTTTTGGTAGTATATTGCTTATTCTAATCTCCGTCTACAACGACGAACTCCAGCGATTAAGTATTAGTTCACAAAAGGCTTACGCGGTGTATGATCCTTTATTTCAATATAAAGTATCTTTGAAAATAATGATTATACAATCCTTAGTCGCGAAGTATTCTTTTACATTAGTACACTTTATCTTAGCCTTACGGGTAAATAAGATTTTATAAAAATAAGCGTTATTCAAGATTTAATTTCATATATACCTCTCTATTAAATAACGATTAATACCTCGGCATAATTATTGGTGGATATGTATTATACTAGAGTATGTATTATACTCGGATATATATTATACTACAGAACGTATTACACTAGAGCACGTATTATACTAGAGCAATTATTATACTAGAGCATGTATTACATTATTACTAATTGTACAGTACTTCTTTTTTGATGTACTCCATACTCCTATTGCGCACCACACTCATATTTTGGTGCGCAAATCAGCAGAACCTATCTAACGGGACGGGGTTTTATGACAAAGATGTAGGCAGGTGCCGAGGCGAGGATGGATCCGGGATACGTTCTAGGATGAGGACAGGGGACCGGACTGAGTACCAATCGAAACAGAATAGAATTTACTAACAAACATAATGAAGACGTTGCGTAAAGAAGAAAGAAAGAAAAGTACAAATAGTGAGAACGAAGTTTGAATATAAACCCCAGAGAATAATCCGATGACTAACCCTCATAACTGCAGCTGAGGAATTAACAGGCGAACATAATAACATCCCACAAACGATCTCGATCCTTCTTCCAGCACCCTAACATGAAGCGTTTAGCGCTTACTGTATCCTCCGAGCACCTTCCTAACTTATCCAACCTAACCGAAGCCATTCTGATCCTTCACTGAATAACTTGATCCTGTAACGTTCTCAGCGGCAGGGTAGGTGGGGACTGTCGGGCCGTGATACTGCCAGTACTTGCATATCACTGTGCAACTGGGTTCTAACAATCACTCTCAGCATGTAACTGAGCCCTGTACGTACTCATATACCAGATACTTGAAATGGCTCTGTTACAAATATTGCACCAACTTCCGGTATTGCGCAAACTCCTCGTGTGCCTACCCCTGCACAAGATTTGCCTACTGCACCAGCTATGAGTGCTGCACCAGCTATGAGTGCTGCACCAATTCCGCCTGCTGTACCAATTACACCTCCTAGGGCAGTCGCACCTAGTATTGCGACTACCATGCCTATCACCACCACCAATAAGACAATTTCGCCTGGTGTTGCTCAAGCCGCAACCCATGCAACTGCCCCTGTGCCTGGAAGAAATATTAGAGCTCGAGGCAAAAAAGGCCCATGTGGTGCTGTTTGAGCTCGGAATCCGCACCCTAATACCCACTAAAATGTACGATATAACTACCTCTGATGTCCCTGATATGTCTGATATCTCAAAAGTGTTGATTTTCCTACGATTCATGATGTTAAGACCATAGTCTAGGAAAAAGCAATAAAATGTGATTAAAAAAGCAATATTCTGTCGTGATACCCCTAATCTAGTGTACACGTCCAATTATAAGCTGAAATATCTTTTTTTCGATTTTTTGAGCCTTAATAGTAGGGTTAGGGTTCAAATATTATTTCTTGTTGATACGCACGATACGATTTCACGTAATATCACCGTTTTGATGCGTAGTACAGTCAAAATATAACTTTTACCTGAGCGCTTGAATATCAAGATATATATGCACCTCTTAATAGGTATCTAGAGTTTAATTGTACGTAGATTACATACCTAATTATCCCGCAATACAGCCCCATATCCCAAAAATATATACTACAGCTATCTACACAGATTCTAATCTGGATCATGGAGCAGGCACTAAACTTCAACATGTTTCACCTGAAAGCGATGCCCACTGCATCAGCGCAAATTTAACCTCTCGACGATGCCGCTGTACTCATACGAAGTGTATGAGGGCAAGTCCGATTACTAGGCAACGATCTAAAAGGGGTGAAGTGACACAGTATTGGGGGTTAGTGAACATTAACATTAGGAGATTGATAGATAGGAGGGACCTCCTAATCGCCAGGAAAGCAGCCAGTACCCCGGTACCCATGTAAGAGGCTCACAACGCTTATCTATCGACTCGAAGCTGACACCACAAACCTGACACGTCGGGAAACGTTCAGGGCCCCAACGACCGTGAACGACAGGAACCCATGAAGAGCCCCATGATGCCCGCCCCTATTGGCGGGGGATAGGACCTGACCGCTGGCTAGTTGCACTGCTGAGTGCAAAGCGTCGAGCCCTATGCAACGCGACAGGGTTAATTAAGGGAAAAAGTAAAATACGGGTATCGTAGGCTAAAGGGCTAAAATGAAGATTAGTATGTAGATATACTAGGTAGAAGGAAACGTACCAAAATCATATGTGGAAGATTGTACGTCGTTAGGGGAAAGATGAGTCAGGATTCGAATGCCTCCATATGTAGATTAGGGAGTTATCCGGCTCAGCTACCGGCTTAGTCATCCACAGTTACCCAGCTTTGTAGTTACCAGCTTGGCGATTACCTTCTAATTAGGATTTCTCGTAGATAAACCCTATATCAGGATTACCTACATATAATACTTCCTAGTCAATCAGCGTTGAGCTCAAATAAGTACTGTTTAAGACATATCACAAAATAATGCCTATTTTGCCTCTAATTATGATTATGTAACCTAAGATTTGTCTTAAAATCAGGCTTTTGGGCAGGTAAAGGCATATATATGCCTTATTTGGGGCCAAGCATTACCCGATTTGGAGGCTTACACCAAGGTAATGCTAAAGTGACCCTTTTTGGGCGCAAAATGCTTATATAAGCCTCCTCCGCCAGCAAATCGTAATTGGAGGCTTATTTTTTTACCCGTTGCCACAGTCAAGGAGTTGTATCATAAGCGTGTCATTAGGACGAGGATAGGAGAGAGACTCCTCTTAGAACGATCATCAACCAAGATAGTGATCAACTGATAAGGTACTACATGAATGTGCCTTTGTCGGTTTTTGCAAGTGAGGCGTGCGCAAGCCCCTGCAGCGATGACTGGTTACGAGACAATTGAAAGATCGCATCAGTGAAAAGTGGCAGATAATCCCGATATTATGTAATTTACGCGTGCCATATGCCATGAAACTGGCCATGGCAGCTGGGTTTCGATCGTAGACAGGGATGATGCTAGTGTAGCGCGTGATGTCTCCTGGGTAGATTAAATTCATGTGCTCATGCATTCTTCAAAATAAAGTTCGGGAATGGCTCAAGTAGTAGTACGACGGCCATGATCCCTACAACTTAGTTACCAAGCATGCACAATCATCCCCACAATATCTAGCGCCACATAAACATTTACCGATAAGGGGAAGACGCCTTGCTTGACGGCCTGTCTAGGTATCCCTTTGCCTGTACCTATGCCCACAATCTGATATACAAAATTATAGCTACGAGGAGGATTTGGTGGCTCAAGAAAAGGGAAAGAGGGGGTCACAGCCGGTGGCTAATTGTGGGGTAAACGGCTCGGAGAGTGAGGGTTAGGTTCACTAGAGGAAAAAGGCTTCTAGACAGATAAAGTCAACTATCGTCACTATCTAAGACGAAGAGATGTCTAAGAGTCGCTTACTACGTAACGTTTCTCTGCAAAGGCTTTGCATTAGACTTGTAATCTACCACAATGATTGACTTTGGGTATACATATACCCATCGATTGTCTTGAAAACTCGCCACTACATACTTGTCGGCACCGAAGCAAAGTTGTAAAGTTGTTCAACATTAGCGTGCAAGATGCAACTTAATGAGAGATAACACTTTCCGTACAGCGCAGCACAGGTGGGCTAAGAACTAGAAATTTGAGCCCGAAATTTGAAAATCGGGTGTGGCTAAAACACTCCATTCCGAGTTTAGAAATGAAATTTCTTGCGGAAAGGCCCGAATATACCCGGGTGGACTCGATAGATTACTCGCTTATCATCTTAGGTGGCCCCTGTACAACCCACTCATCATCACAAAATATCACTCGTTTAATGTTTGAATAGAACCCTAACCCTATGTTTCGACCAAAAGAATCAACTAATGCGGATTGAAGCGGCGTAAGATGGAATCGGAACAAATTTATTCCGCCGATACCAACATTGTCAATTATACGTAATAAGAATAAGAAATATTGTTTTGCTAGAGTAGTATACTAACACCTTTGGTGTAGGCGAGCATGGGTTATGTAAGTTCACTGGTCACCGTTTCATGTTCTATCACTCGCTCCTAATCGAGCATCAATTAATCAAGCGCTTGTTTCCACAAGTGATAAGTTAAACCAATATGAAATTATTCACGTGACGAATATGCTCCAATACAAGCGAGATTGGCGCGTTCTCCTTCTGGACTATGGAAAAATCAGACCGTAAAACGGTGGTAGCGTTTGACATCGCGTCTAGCCGTAGGTACAGTACCTCTAGCTATGTACTTGCGGTGAAATTAACTCTCGCGATAGAAACCGTCGACCTCACCATTTCCTTAGGCCTAACAACCACCACTATAACCGTGATAATTAAAGCAGGAGATAATTAGTTTTGAGCATAGAAATGACTATGACTTTAATACACTTGGTTTTAGCTATTGGTTGTGGTTTTATAGGGTCTCAAGTTTGGCTGGGTTAAATGGTTGCCAGCGCAATATTTGGGACAATACTTAATTTCACCGCAAGTAGGGAAGATAATTATAAGTAATTTGTTAATTACTCAGTACCCTCCTCCGTTATGTTATGTTTGCTTACTTGGAGGTATCGTTCATTTAAACTTGTACAAGTGAAAGGAACACTTAATTCTTGTGTATTAAGCGGGTATCGGTAGTAGAGCAGTGATCGAAATCTGTGATTGTTGCACACTACCGATAATTTAGGACGTCCAAAGTTAACCCACGACGTAGATTATTTGGTTCCAAATCAGCCCAAAATGCCAACACATTGAGGTGCTACGTTGTGTCAACATATTAATGTTTGCTAGGAGTTTTAACAAGAATCAGTTTTCAATGATATACCTACTTTTTTATTTGTTTGTCCGGCTACTGATGGCGCTGCTATGCAGATCCAGATCTAGATCGAACTATATTCAAGATTTCGCTAAGATTGTAGAAGTAAATGCTGTTAGGTGTCTTTTTAGCGAGCGCGAGATGCAACGCGATACTTACATGCGATACTATGTATCCTCTTTTCCGTAATTACTATGTAGCCCTTAGCGGTGGATCGATCGACATATTCGAATAGACAATTCATCCGAAGACTCGAATAAATCTTTATTACAGCATTATCCAGAGTATTCCTGTTAACATCACTCTGGCTATCTGCATTAAGTTCTACCTTTCTTTGGATTAGATATGACGCTCGTTTATAGTTATCACTAAGATCAGACGGAAACGTTGCAAAGAGGAAACCCAGAAACCATGTTGGATGAGGATAGATACATGATCTGGGGTAGGGTTATAGTACAGCGGTAACATAAGTTGCTTCCCCGACTCGTGATGATACATGAAGTTCTCGCATAGGTACGTGCGAAGACCCGAAGAACAAACAGATGAAATTGATTAAGTACAGCTGTTCAATCTAGAACGGCAGGTGTACCTAGATACGTTCGTATACTATTATTCCTTTCTCTCGAGTTGAACGAAGCTCAGCTCTGGCAAATGGCATTCATCAATTGTTGTTGTGTACGTGGCCGACGCGGAGTGACACCAGAACCCAAAAGGCCATTCAATGTGCTCGGTAGGTACCTAGCCGCCTGTTTATTCTCCCTCAGCAGATTTCATATTTTACGCGGGCCCTGTTCCGCAGGTTTGTGCATAGAGCCCATGTTTGCACGTTTACATCTGATTCATCTCCTCGTTGTCTTAGATCGATCCCTCTCTGCGGAATGCGGCCACCACCCCTTGCGTTCAGTAAAATAAGAGAGAATCCGGTTGCATGCAGCTAGCTACACCCAATACCTTTCTTCCTCGAAAAGGCTGGGAGAAAGGCTGGAATAAGGGAGAGGGAGAGTAGGAGGGGAGAGGCTGGCGCGAGGGTAGTCAGGTTAGAAATCAGCTGTTGAATACTTCTTCCTCGTAATTATTGAATATTCCTTTTAACTCATCTGCAACTCCTAAGGTCCGAAATACGGGGTTGAAAGAGGGCTAGAATTGAGCCCACCACCACTCTTATCTACCGCAGTTCGGCTCAATCCCGTTCCAAGACCAGTACATGCTGGTCCACAGTAATAATTTCAAGACAAGGGCAGGCGCCTGGACCAACAATCGTACGAGGGTAAAATACGACGCCAGCGAGACAGATATCAACTCGCATGTGAATTTCTTAAAGTCATTGAAATATGCAACTGACTGATGCTAAACTATCTAGGAAGAAAGATCCTGACTAGCGGCGGCAAAGGATCTTACAGAATGCTGCAATCGCGGATAGTTACAGGTTACAGTAAGTGGTCAAATGTTAATTAGAACCTTTGATGATTTGATGTAAAGCGCTCATACTCCTAGGTCTCTTTTTACTCAGGAAGAAGTCTGCATATACAGCCCATAATTGAATATTGCTCGGTACGGTGGGCTAAACCAGCATATTAGCTTCGATACTCCCCCTTCCTACATCTAGTTTCGACAACTAAGGCTTCATTGTGTAACTTCACTGATTAGCATCAATTCAATATTCCAGCTGGTTCAATCCCTCTACCAGAATTTGTAAGTGACTATCAGATCATTATTCCCCCCAGTAACAACATGGCTGACAAACTCACAGCTTAGATCCTTTTCCGGTGGTTCACAAAGAAATAGTTATTTTCAATGGCTGATCCCGAATCCGGTCCTGCCTGCGAACAAAATAAACAAAATCTCAGCCAACGCTCACCAACACCTTCTCATGACCGGTATAATTCATCATTGCAACTACTGCCCAATGCTCATCCCCAGCGCCCAAGCTGTGACAAAACGATACTCTCGAACAAAAATCTCGGCCAAATTAATCACCATATTCCGAATCAGTTAATGGTGGCCTCGCTGGAGAAAGAGATAAGTGAACTGGGTAATGGATGTTGTTCCGAAGAGGAAGGAATATGCTCTTGTGATGGTAATTACTAACCCCCCTCACTATCCTTCTTATGTGTGCCCTTTCTACTCTCTAGTTAGCTAAAAATATATCGTCTCAAAGAGAGCTGTTTCGAGAAATATGCAGCTTATATCCACAAGAACTCTCATGCGAGCCCCGAAATAGGTTACTGCTCCGAAACAGAAACTACAAAAAGAACCGTTTCGGTCAATGATCAGCACAATCATGGACATAACGGCCGTCGACCCCACCACAACCATCCTGACCGCCACAATCTACATCATAATCATGCAAAACTTCCAACTTGTGCTTTATGTCTCTATCGTTCAGAATGGGATAGTCTCACGATAACAAATCTCTCGGGAACATCAACAATGAAATGTCCTTGCACCTCATTAAGATTACAGTCCACTAAGTCTCACCATAATCTCTCAAGAACCTCATCAACGTCACTTGGCCAATGCTGTAATAGTCGGCACAAAGCCATGAGACCCGACTGCTGCTCTACATCGTCAGATATTGATGAAGAAGTTGACGAGGATGATGATGAGGATTACATAGTAAACATTGGGAAGTCTGGTATCCTCATACCGTGGTTTCTCTCTTTGACTATAACGGGAATGACATGTACCGGATGCGCAGATAAAGTTGTTCACGTTCTACAATCTATGAATTGTGTGCTTTCTGCTAGTGTCAAGGTCAGTTTTCTCAACAACAGGGCTGAGGTGACTTTCTGGCCCGAGTTCAGAGGAGAGAATGAGATCGTAGAAATATTGAGGAAGAAGACAGGGTTTCGTGTGGCAGTCATGGGAAGTGGATGTATTGAGGATGCAGGTCTAGCTAAGGTCCGAATAACAATATGCGATGAAGAATCGCCGGAGAGAATCGAGAAGATGGATGAGGTCCGCAGAATGAGAATTCTCGGCCGCGAGAACGGACGGGTTATACTAGAGGTTGGATACGATCCAGCTATCGTTGGGGTTAGGGATTTGTTGTGCTACATCAACAACAACAACGTTAAATTTGATGCCAACATAGTCGACATCCCAAACGAAGATACGGCCGCATCCGAAGCGGAAAGAAGGCATTTAAAGCTTTTGGGAATTATAACACTTGTATCTGCAATGTTGACAGTGCCCGTCCTTATCCTGGCCTGGGTACCGTTACCAAACATCGAAATGGCCCTTAAATATACCATTCAACTGCCTCTAGCAACTGTTGTTATGGGAGTAGCGTACCGGATATATATCAGCGCATTTCGAACCATGATATACGGTGGAGCGGGTGGTAGTAGAATCGATATGGACGTTCTCGTCCTGGTTGCTACACTCGCTGCCTGGGGGTTTTCGGTATCGATCTTCATGATTGATACCATCAGCGGAACACTTGGAACCACTGGAAAGGAGCCATTCTTCGAGACATGTTGTTTGTTGGTTGCATTGATTCTCGCAGGGAGGTGGATCACCGGGATGGTGAGAATGTGGGCGTTGAATAGGGTCTTGGCCCTTGGCGACGAGCATCAAAGGGAGAGATCAAAGAGAGTGTTTTTGGTGGAGGGCGACAACATTCGAGAGATTAACGAGAAATTACTTCAATACGCGGATGTCTTGGTTGTTTTCAAGGGCGGTGTTATTGCCACTGATGGCGTTGTGGTGGAGGGGGAGGCGGAAGTAGACGAAAGCCTCTTGACAGGAGAAGCAGCTCCTGCAGAGGTTCAGGTCGGTCGATTGGTAATGGCCGGAAGCAACGTCGTAAACGGCAGACTGAAATATCGAGTTACAAGACTGATGCACGAAAATACAGTTTCTGTCATCAAACGGATGGTTCGATCAGCTGGTGGGGAAAAGCCAAAAGTGCAAGAGATGGCTGATAGATTTGCAGCCATCATGACACCGACTGTTCTTTTCGTTTCTCTGGCGGTGTTCATTATCTGGCTTCTTGTCAATAGGCTAGGCAGAAACGAGGAGTGGTCTGATAGCGCGGTGGAAGCGGTTTCTTTTGCTGTAGCAACACTGGCTGTATCATGTCCATGTGCCATCGGTCTTGCTGTACCCATGGTCATGATTTTTGCCAGTAGGGTCGCAATGAGAAAGTGCGGGTTTTTATTTGTAAATGTCATCGCAGTGGAAAGAGGGCTGAAGGCAAACAAGGTTGTATTCGACAAGACGGGGACCTTAACAACAGGAAAGTTGAAAGTTGTTTTTGAGAAGGAGTACACTGGAGTTAGATGGAGTGCTGAAGTCGGAGATCAAATTCGGACATTGGTTAAGACCCTGTGCGAAGGAGAAAAGCATCCAGTTTCCGAAGCATTAGCGACAAGTGTTTCGAAAGCGTTGGGGCACCCGGATGTCACTGTTGAGACAGTTGTGGGGAAAGGACTCGAAACCACAATCGAAGGCCAACTCGTAAGAGGCGGGCAGCCTTCTTGGTGCTCTCATAATGGCGATGCGCATCACATTGTAAAAGAAGTAGTTCAGCAAGGGTTGACAGTATTTGCGCTTTCCATCGACGGGGAGCTCAAGGCTGTCTTTGGGCTTGAAGATACTATTCGCCCTGAAGCACAAGAAGTAATCGCAGAGCTTCATAGAAGATGTATAGAAACCTATATCTTCTCTGGGGACCATACACACGCTGTCTCAAAGATCTCGAAGGTCCTTGGTATACCAGAAGGAAACTGCAGATCCGGCTGCTCTCCAGAACAAAAATCCTCCGAAATCAAGAAGCTTCAAATTCAACTACAACCAACACGAGAAGACAACACAAACGAACCAGTACTAAAGCGCCCAATTGTTCTTTTCCTTGGCGATGGGACCAATGATGCTATAGCACTAAAACAAGCAGACGTTGGGCTGTCTATGTCTGACTCGACCTCGGTTGCGATATCAGCTGCGGATGTGGCCATCTTGTCAACATCCTTAACCAGTGTCGTCAGTTTTTTGGACCTGAGTAGGCGAGTGAGAACATGTATCTGGGTTTCTTTTGCTTATGGAATTTTGTGGAATTTCTTTGCAGTGATCGCAGCTGGAGGAGGTTTTGTAGCTGTTAGGATCTCGCCTGAATGGGCGGGCTTGGGCGAGTTGGGTAGCGTATTGCCGGTTGTTATAATCGCAGCTTTTGTAGGTGTTCGATGGGAGAGGAAAATGACATATGGTTAGAAGCCACTTGCAGTTTTGATTTCTTTCGTAATATGCCATGCCGCCGATCATAAATTTTGTTTATATTGTCAGATAAATGTAATCATCAATCCTTTCTATAAAATGATTACTCCGACCGGTTTAATAAATCAAAAAGCTCAGATATTCAAGGAATTGAAGTATCTGTCAGATATGGTTTCTTCCTGGCAATAAAGCGAAGCCGAATAACTAAAGAAACGTGACAAACCTCTAGTTCCGGTAATCAAGCGTATATATCACTCCTTGGACCCACTAAATCCCTTGTGGCCAGCTGTTAATACTTCATCTGACTGCACTTGACAACCTACCTCTCTCCGCTTCCAGAGCTCTCTGTACTCATTTCGCCTCGGTATATGTATCCGCCATCTCCTCGCTCGATATCAATGTCAAATGCTATCAGTCAGGATACTGGGCTATCTCCAACCCCACTTATCAAGCTAAACGGTTATCGGAATACCTTTGACGGATTTTCTGGTACGTGGCCATGGAACCTTGATAGTAGCCTGCCTATTCACGGTTTGTTTGATAAATCTATGGATAAAATCCATCTGCATTCTTCAAGATGGACTGCCGCGAGGGTTCTTCTCAGTGTTGGCCACGCAAGAGGTCGAAGTTACAGCTGGTACTAGGGGATGATGGGGGATGTAATATATCTGTTGATGACATATATATCTCCTACTCGAAAGTAGGCACTCTTTAGTACCTGCAAGAAAGGCCCTGTTTTGAGTGGGGTAGGCACAACGAATCAACCCCTTTGTGGTCTAGTACGAGTTAGTTAACGATTGGATGTTGGTGGTCTGCGCCAAGAATTAGTAACGCGGAGCCTTCTTTTGTGCCAAGACCAATCACTGCATCGCATCTCTCGGCTGGTGCTAACTTGTTCCAGTGCAAACCGAAAGAAGAAAGCTGACTTTCAGGACGATCGGGGAACAGACGCTTGAAGCTATGGATCGGTTGGGTACCCGCCCGGGGTGATCCAGGTGATAATCGTTCTGCTTTTTTGTTGGCCCTCTCGATAAATATGCACTCTAACTGGTGGAGTTAGGAGCAGCTGTACTTCATGGCACGAGCTAGAGAACATATGTGGTGAGGCTACGTAGAGTACAGTACGTGAATCAATTGGTGTCTTACCAGTGGAGAAAAACGAGGATGATAATTGCACATTATCTTAACAGGCGGTAGAGTGCATTTACTCTAAATAGAGTACCTTGTACTCTAGGAACTCTACGCAAATATATTCTTCTACTCGAGAGACTCTTGAGTCTTGGTACTCTTACCAGGTTTACAGGCGATCTTCATCAGGCATTTCCTACAATTAATACATACCGATCGGGGCTGAGACCGGCTTTTGTTCCTTTGATGATCAGCAGCTGGGCTGAACACTCTACAAAAGTTAGCCGACTGGCTGGATGGCCCATCTGTGTAACCACAGGTTAGCGTCGAGTACCCACATGCATAACATGCGCTGCCCAGCTAGTTGGGCCGGGTGAGCTTAACTTTATGTGAACAGGTGCATTCGGTTCACAGATTGCCGAGCCTCACCCCTGGTACTACTACCCTACTACTCGCGGCAGGTAATAAGTACCCGAAAATGCACGTCCTAATCTGCAATTTCCATTGGAGTAGAAGTCAAAAATACACCAAAAACTTGCAGCTGCATATTCGGGTACTTCATGCCTGTCGTGAGTACTCTAGAGTAGAGTGTATCAGTAGAGTGTATCAGGTACCTACAGTACCCCCCAACATACTTTACTCTATGTATGTATGTATTCCAACCAGCAACCTCGATCACGCCATCTCTCCTCGTCAAATGGCACATTTATTAATTTTGGGTTTGAAAAATAAAATATAATCCCATTTGAATCTTTAAAGCTTTGAGTGGAGTAGATGTGTAGGTGCTATGTACTACATACGTAGAGAGTGCATGGAGACTCATCGTGTTAAGCTTCTTGTGGTCGGACTCCCGGCCCCGTAATGCAGGCATGAAATCGCGCAACTCTGCATTGTGAGCGTCTCGGATTCAGCTACTAATAATTGATTCAGGACGTCACTATCAACGTGACTCCATGAGCATTTCGGCTGATTTAGCACCGGAAGCATCTTCGCTAATCATGTACCCAGCATCGAGATTTAGTACTACCAAGCAATGGTAAGCTGTACAAGTATTCTCTCTTAAAACGATCACAATAGCGGCTCAGTGGGATATTCTTCAGGTTGTTATGAAACCACTTAAGCCTACTCTTCTTAGAACATGCGCCGAATATTGTTATACTACGCACAATGGTACTAAAGTATCTCTAAATCCCTCTCTCGTCTTTGGAAAGGGCCTAGGCTTAGGTACGAAGGTACTCTACCCCAGTTATTCCTGCAGCAAGTACTCGGCAGTTCACATCATATCATGCATGAGGTTCTTGGTAACCCCCTGCCCTATGCCGTCAATCCATACCCTATGCCGTTAATTCCTTGCTAAACACCGAAAATCCCATAGACACCGAGGTGTCTCTAAGGCACAACAAAACTTCTTGGGTATTCGTTGTCAAGTCTCGCGCTGTTACACTGAGACCACAACATGTGTCTTGACTATTGTAAATCCAATTAAAAAGATTTTATGTTCCTGATTCTAGTGATTAAGAACATTATGTCATTCAATGCTTGAACTGCAAGGAGTTTAGACTGTCTGTTGTATCATACCTAACTTGTATTCCTCATCGTGAGGCCCCGAATCTCATGAAACCCAACGGCACAGCGGATACCGAAGATTTCCTCTAGCGGCACAGTGAGCGGCGGGAGAGTACTCTTTGAGGAAGTGAAGTTCTGTCATCGCTTATGTGGCACCAATGGCAACTTTTCGCACGATATCTCGCGCACCCTGGGGGTGAACTATGCAACAATTCAATCGTCCAATCCGATTCCTAAATGGTTCAATTGCTCTCTACTGGTAGTTCTTCTGAGCCTCTATATAATACTCCACAGTCCTCCTCATCTGAGAACTTCATTCCCCAGCGTCAGTCTCAACGCCTCGGACTCACTCACCTCATCACCCATCATGCATTTCCGCTCTATCCTCCCCCTCTCCCTTCTCCCTCTATCACTCCTCCCTCTCACAACTCTTGCCCTCCGTCCCCGCGATGAGCGCGTCCTCAACACCACTGTCCTAATTCTAGGTGGTGGAATGACCGGTGTATCTGCGGCTCACTCTCTAGCCATTGATCGCAACATCACCGACTTTCTTGTCCTTGAAGCTCGTCACGAACTCGGTGGCCGTGTGCAACAGGGCAAGATTGGTGACCTTAACATCGAGCTCGGCGCAAACTGGGTTGAAGGACTGGGCACGAACCCCATCTGGACACTCGCTCAGAAGTACGGAATCAACAACCGATACTCTAACTGGAGTAACATTGACTACTTCACCGAAGATGGTTGGCAGGATGAGACCGGCAGCCTTGCCCAGGCACTCACGAGGTATGAGGAAGAGGTCTTTATCAAAGCCTCCGCAGATGCTGGGAGACGTAAAGCGTTGGGCCTCCCTGATTTGTCCATGAAGGCGGGATTGAGGGTTGCGGGGTGGAACCCATTGACGCCTGAGGAGAGAGCCGCTGAGTACTTCAGTCACGACTGGGAACAAGCGGAGCCACCTGTGGAGAGCAGCTTTATCGGTACCATTGAGGTTTATAATGAGACTTTTATCGAGTTTGGTAACTCCGACAATCATTTGGTGATTGACCAGGGTGGCTACAAGCAGGTGATCATCAAGTATGGTGATGAGATTCCTAATTTTCAGGATAAGGTATTGTTTGGTGAGGTTGTGGAGACCATCGAGTACAGAAGCGACGGAGTGACGGTAAAGACGGCCAGTGGATTAACGGTTAACGCGGAGTATGCGCTTTGCACTTTCTCGTAAGTCAACTCTATAAAGAATCCCCTAGAATGATCCAAAATTAACACACATCATCAGATTGGGAGTTCTTCAGCATGACGACGTAGTGTTTGAACCTGCGCTACCTGACTGGAAACAGGATGCCATCGCCAACTTCCATCTCGCAACCTACATGAAGATCTTCGCCAAGTTCCCCACTAAATTCTGGAACGACACCGAGTTTGCATTGTATGCCGATGCCGACGAGCGTGGTTACTACGCAGTCTGGCAGTCGCTTGATGCCCCCGGTTTCTACGAAGGATCCAAATCGATCTTTGCAACCCTCACCTCCGACGCTGCCTACCATGCGGAACTGCAGACGGACGAAGAGGTCCAAGCCGACTTTGTGGCTGTCTTGCGGGACATGTACGGTGCCGAGAATGTCCCAGAGCCAATTGACTTTACCTTCCCAAGGTGGACGCTCGATCCCCTGTTTCGAGGCACATTCACCAATTGGGGTGCGGGTGTTACTGTGAAGCAGCAGGATGATATGAGGGCCCCGGTTGGTGGAGACGCGGAGACAGAGAGGAGGTTGTTCTTTGCAGGAGAGCACACAAGCAGGAAGTACTTTGGTGAGTTCTGGTTTTACTTTTCCCATTTGACGAAACGAATGGTATGCTGATTAAATCTATTAGGATATCTCCATGGTGCATTCTTTGAGGGTAGAATGGCGGCGCACAATTTAGGTGATTGCGTGCTTTTCAACTGCATGGAGTCAGATGGCACCATGTTGGCCAAGAGAGACGCGATGGAGTTCGAGCAGAACAAGGTCGGCGCGACACAAGGAAGACTCAGGAAGAGGCAATGGGGTTAAATGTCTTCATCCATGTTTCCTAATTTAATGTTTTACGTTAATATTGTATATGAAAATAATGAGCGTAATGCCAGTCTTCAAATATTCTTTGGAATTCCACTTACCGAGTAATTTCTTGTGCCGTACGGTATGAAGAAATTCATATCTTCAATCAAAACTATTAAAGACTTTATGTGATACCTGTACCGGGCCCCTGACCCCCCAGTTTAGTTAGAATTTGGTCTCTATATTGATATAATTGAGCTAGACTCTTTGTCCTCGAGGCGAAACAGACTTAACCCCCTGAGTACACTGCGCTCATAAACTCATGGGCGTCCGATCTTTCCGGGGCGGCCTTATAATTATCCTAGCTATCAAAAGCCTCCATATCCACCCACCATGGGAGCCATCCACTACCGATTAAGGAATATAGACCTTTAATAATGGGCCAGAATAGCACATCCCACGCTGTGACGAAATTGCCACTGTCTCTTCCATATCCCCTTGATGAAGCAGTAGTTATACATTATCGTAGCGAAAACTATCAATGTTCCAGTCACGTCAGTGATGGTTCAATGAAAGAGATGGTGAATACGCACACGAAGAATGAAGCTTGGTAAGGAAAGATGATTACGCTGGTATGTCCTTATTAACACAGTATTCTTCATAGTATTCCGCTATGCTGATGTGCCTTCAAGTTCCTTCGTAGCGTAGTAGTGCTAAACACCGATGTTGTTTGAATCACGAAGTGGTTGGAACTAGGAAAGAAGCATCCCTGCAATTAAAGTCAAACCTATCAAATGCCAAGTATTCCAACAATTCCCAGCATCTCCCCCACTGGCCACCTCACACCCCTCTACTGTTCATACACCCACCAGTTCCCCCACCAACTGAGCAGCAATGATTTTTTTTCGCAAACTTGGATCTGACGAGCAGTGCATCACAAAATTTAAAAAATGATATAATTATCTGCCATCAGTGCGGTTCGAACGCACGCATCTTTCGATAACACAGGTTTTTTCTCAAATGAGAAACTTAAATGTGCCGCCTTAGACCACTCGGCCATAATGGCTTGAGTTTCCTTCACAAATAATCACTCGATATACTATTTTCATGACAGGGATATGTAATTGCCGGTGGCAACGGTCTTTAGCCGAGATACGTACTAGCTCGCAGGAGACGACGATAGCGGAACATCAAGCTTTAATAGGTGTGGAAATAAAAATTCTTGGGGCTCAAGCAGGTTTAGATCGAACTCCTATCACCGTCGAAACGCCGAAAAAATAGGGAAAACGTTCAGCATACCAGTGCAAAACTACTTTACTCCACATGATCTTTCTCTTTTGTAGTAATAACTATAACTCTCTCTCCTTTCCTTAACTAATGCTAACCAATATCTAGATTATTGACTACAAGTACGTAGCTACTCTACTCTCGACCCCATTCATCTCTATAGTTAGTACTGGGGCCGGTTCTCTTCCCAGTCCAGGACAATCCCAGGGCTCAGTATGGCCTCCGAGACCCGATTTTTACACTGGTCGTCCTCATCCTGCTCCCTAATGCTCACCGTTCACCTTTTCTATGTCCAGCTGCGCCGATCCTTCCAGCTCTGTTCCCCTGACATTTGCTGGCGTGCTCTTTTGTTGATTAGGTAGAAACCCATAAGCACAATTCAATTGTCTTCCTATTAGCCGGCCTGGTCTTGTACATGCATACCTGTTCTCTTCAACCGCACCTGAGATATTGGCTTGCTAGACAACAAAGAACAGTGAAAAAATCTATTCTAAGCTATTTGAGGATCAGGGCTGCCTATGGGTTAATAGTCATGTATATATCCCTCGCGCGTAGCAAACGGGTTTAGGGAACCTAAATAAAAGTAATGTTTTCGAAATTGCAATTAATCGAGCGCCATCACATTCAACCGTCCCCTTACGATATCAAAATAATCTGGAAGATGCTAGAGATTAAGTTGGTCTTATCAAATATAATTCGAGACTATCTTTTGAGATTTAAAGAGGCCATGAATTCAACCCCCAATTCACACATACAAAACCATCCTCGAGTCATCACTCACATCGTCACAAAATGACTGAGAGAGCCCTCCGACCCCGCCAACTCAATGCTTCCTATTGTATCTCTGAATGTATCCAATTGTAACCAAGAGAACCATCCACAACTCGAACCCAACACAATCTCAACGCCAAGAAACACCAGATCGAGTGATAATCAATGACTCCAATTCCGCAACAAACCACCATACCCTCTCCATCATTTCCAACACACTTCATCTAGCTACGATTAGTCAACCTATTATCAGAATATCCAGATATTCCCCCCGAGCGGCGGAAGGTCTGTTTGTGGTCCTGGATATGGTTAGTAAGTGGGCCATGCAACACATGATAATCTATCGTCGCCCGTCAATATCAATACTTCAAATGCACATTACCGGGTAAGCGTCTACGTCTCTCTTCCTTTCTCCAGCCGCCTCAATAGCTGGACATCACAGAACCTCGTTGTTGTCGCTGTCGCATTTCTCCTTGGCACAAATCACTTAACGGCTTCCGAGTGATATCTCATGCATAAAAGAGACCCCAGGTCACAACCCTCAAACCAAACAGGCAATTACACCAAGCAGAACATACCACAGGTGTAAATCCCACACCAAACAGTGGGCTATTGTGGCGCACCATACTCACTATTCAAAACGGCACCGCCACTACGTACTACGTACTACAAGTACCCCATGGCAATTTATAAAGGTCACTGGCCGGGCCCGGGGGTTCTAAACACGCGCCCTCCGCCGTGACCCGACACCGGCCGTGTCACGTCATACATTCATGGCTGGTGACTCTTTGGCAGCATGCGGGCCTTGTCCGATCAAGATCAAGGCTGTCCATTATGTTTTTCAGCGGGTGAAACTGCCGGCGTGGCCACACAATAGCTCCCTCATAGGCCATCCTGTGGCCGGCCGGCCGGTAATAACTACATGTAACAGCATCTGATTCGAGGAGATTCTCGGCCATACACATATATATTCGCCGTCCGGATCAATGTCATATCGAAAATGCGGCCGGCCTCCTAGCTACGTAGCCAGCGGGCATTATTTAAACCCGCCCCATCAACAGCCCTGGAATAACCCGCCCTGTGTGCCGATTACACACTTGTTTCAGGTATAACCTAGCTATTCTAGGGGGTGTACCAAGTGAGTATGTAGCGGGGGCCCACATATCTGACTGGTCATCATCTCGTAGTATCCACCTGGTAATTAAACAAGACCCCCCCCCCCCCCCCCCTTCCAAGAGATCCACAGCCATCTCGATTCAGGATTCATTGTGTTCCGTGAGCCCGCAGTATATTCCTACCCCGCAGATCGAGTTACGTGCTCTATAAGCTACCACCGGTGCGTGGTAGTGGGTCGTGGGCTGATACCGGTGGGGTGTTAGTTGGCAATTCTGTAACTAGAGACACAGTCTTGGGTTAATGTGGCACGGTTCTAGAAGAGGAAAGAGATTGATATCGAAGGTGATTTCCAGATAAAGGGTAAAGATAAAGGTATAAGTGTGATAGCTATAGTACTAGGTGGTAGTAGTAGGTAGTAGTAATATAATAGTAGTAGTAGAAATACATAGTACACGCAACCGGCAAAAAGGAATTAATAAGGAACCCCAAAAACACAATAGCTCCCGGAAGGAAAATTTAAAAAAGAGACCTTACGCAACCAAAACCGAGCACCAGAGCACCAGACAAGTGAGAAAGAAATTCCCTTATATAAACCAAACAGATTTAAAAACAAATGATTACAAAAGAAGAAGAAAACCAAATTAATACGTAAAAGCGCAACAACATCCACCACGGCAAACCCCGTAAGAAACAAAACTAATCCAAATAAGCCCAAAAGAAATAAAACAATCCCCCCGTATCCCTAACCCAAACAATAATAATAATAGTAACAATAAAATAAAGCCTCTCTCCCTCCCCCGTCCCCCGTATCCTGCTCTTTGAATTGCTGACAGTGGGAGTGGGGCAGCTAACCGTCTTCGGCTAGAGCACCCGTACCGTACCACACCCCACGCACGGACGGTTTAAAATCCACTTAAGCCGACGCGACGACGATGACTCCTCTCCCTTCACCCCGCGTGACTCCGCGTCTTTTTTGGCCACGTCGCGACCGTGAACCCAAAGTCTCAGGAGAACGCGACTGGTGTGGCGGACGGGCCGAGGAGATAATTCTCACACACTCACACAACGCCGCCGCCCGGAAAATCCTGTCTCTGGGAGGCGAGGCTGGTGAGGTCGTAGACGTGAGAGTTGAGGGACTTGCTCGTAGCTAGGAGGATATCGTATGGATGGATGGATAGTTGGTAGATGATGATAGTTGATGGTGGTAACAGAACAATTCGTGAATAGGTAAGTAGTTACTGTATGATCGGTACATTCAACGGTCGCAACGGTAAAGAAATAAAAGAAGTTGAAGGCATCGCGAACGCTCTTTTGCCCCCCTCCGACCAGTCGGTTCACAAATATGTTTTCCAATATCCTGCCATGCCCAATCCATCCGTCCATTCCCCCAAAGCCAAAGTCAAAGACCAAACCCAGCGCCAGGCGCCCCCATGAAACCACAGAGAAACCCCCATCCCCCCACCTGCCTGGACTGTTCCTCCTGTTTCAACATGCCTCAGTTCTGATGCTGTCTTGACTGGTATCGGCACTCCCACTACTGGTGCTACTACCACTCAAGCTCTCAAAACTACAATTATCCTGGCTCTGGCATGGGACAGTCTTCAACGGGTCCCCAAACAGCATTGTTTCGTGCCTGCGAAGCGACGGGATAACCCTACCGGAACTGAATGCTGCTCTCTTGCGGCGCGACGGCTGCTGCTGCTGCTGTCCAGGTGGTGGATACTGCGGGGTCGGGGACGCGGGAGGGGATGGGAGGAGGGACGATGGCATTGCAAAGAGGTGGAAAAAGGCGTAAGGCTGATGTGGTCGTAGTGGTGGTAGGGAGAGGAGGAGGAGGAGCAAGAAGTTAGTGAAGAGGATGAGTGCATCTGCTAGTAGTTATTCTGAGATTTTCTCCGGTTGATTGAAGAAAGAAGTGTGATGAGGAATTGAGGAGGTTGGAGAGAAAGAAAAAGAGAGGGCGGGCAAAGAGGTGCTTTTGAGGCGTGAGATATTAAAACCTCCATTTTGCATCGTGCAGGGATCATTTATCGTTGATGGTGGTGGTGGTAGTAGTGATGTACAAGAGCGGGACCTTAGAAACGAAACACGGGGGGTGAGGGGGTTGCCAGAGAACGCACGGTAGGCAGCGGTAACCATGAAGATACGCGCCCGTACCCGTTAATTACACGAGTGAGAGATTACAGCTTGTAGCTGTCCGGTATCTACCACCCACTATCCCGGGTGACTATTGGTGACTCCCAAGAAAGAAGGGTCTTGACCCCTCCCCCCAATTCAAGTTTTTTTTTTACTCCGCCTCGCGATTCTAGTGGTGTGAGTGGTGGAGGGATGGTGGCGCCAACACATCGAGATGGATGAAATAAAATAATTAGTCATCATGTCACGTATGTGCGCGTGCCCCGTTCAGAACTGACTCTTGTGAAGGGTGGTGGGTGGTGGGTGGTGGGTGGTCACTGGTCAGGAGGGCCGTTCGCTTATGCCAGGGAAGCCGGAAAAACTTGAGATAAAAGCATGGGGAGAGGGCAGTGCTGGATGTCATTACTCCTACTGTTCCTCTTTTGCATCCTTCTAGAAGCCGGATCTTTTTTCTTTTGGATATGTTAAATAAGTGGACACGGTACCGAGGCGAGGCGAGGCGAGTGATGTTCTGTGAGCACGAGGAGATATTCTTATCACTCACGTACTCACTCACTCACAGCTCTCTCACTCTAAAGTGCAAAAAGCTACAACATACAGCCTACATACATCATGTACCTAGCACGTAGTTAGTACTCTAGAGCCAGGACCTCCCTCACGGCCCTATGGGACAACGCATCGATCAGCCAAAACCGAAACTGTCCAACGATCATTTCCGGGCGTCCACCTCTCATTTGCCACATTACGCTCGCGCCACACGTCACCACCACCACCACCACCACACCACGGACAGGAACATCTGCTTTCAGATGCCAGACGCTTGCCCGGGTCCCCAATCTGGCTGAGCAATGAGTTTGTTGGGTCCGCGCACAACTCGAATTGGTCGAGAGAGGAGTCATGATGGCGAAACCTTGTTTTGACTTCCTTCCTCATCCCGGCTTGGTCTGGCTTGGCTAACCTGCTGCTCCCGGTGGCCATGATGACAACTGACAGCGAGGTAGGTATCACCTCCATGACTACTAACTCGCTGCGCGGTTTTAGTTTTTCTTGTATCAGCAGCCATTAATTCCAGAACTCGGGATTGCCAGCATATCTAGCTATCAATACGTATCCGAGTAAAGTAATTGGGGAATGTGGCGGAATTAAGGGGGTAATCCAATGTGTCATGGACCGACAGGTTTTTTTTTCTCCCAGGTGTTGAAAACCCTGTGTTCAGGAACTTGCGACATCAGAGTAGATTTCCACGCTCGCCCCCAAAAAAAGTCTGAGATCCCTAGAACAAAAAAACTCATCCACCATAGAACGATTCCGAAAACGTCCAGAACAGCACAGAACAGAAACAGATGAGGTGAACTAACTCTTCGGCTAATGATCTGATTCCCACTAGCGCGATGTCCTCCCCCCTAACCCACGGAATTAGTCCCAAACTTTAAACCGACGGCAAGTACTCTTACTCGACAGGCAGGCAGCAAGCGCAGTTATGTAGGTCCATGACACATTTTCACCCCCGCGCCACATCCGGCGCGGCGCATGCGTCGTAACCCAAAATTAGAAGTACAAGTTTGTCGACTGGGAGGGAGCGCTGGATCTGTGTTAGTGGGGGCGCCGGGTGTAAGACGATGGAGGGGCATGCCTTGGTTTATCGGCGAGACGCATAGTAGTAGTACTCTACTAGCGGCGCATATCCGATCCAGCAAACATGCCAATCTCGGAGACGAAAATAGTGAGTATGCGATGGGATGGTGGAGATGATTCGTTACTAGTGGTCGAAGAATGATGATGATAATTGCGGCGATAACTGGGATGAGCATTACAAAACCAGTTGTCTCGATGACTTTGGCTTGTCTGGATTCGAGCTATGACGAAGAAAAAGTTTTCATTCGAATTCTCGACATGTTGATTGATAAACTTGTTATAATTACTCAAGCTACTAATTAAACAGATCAGTTATTTCGCTGCTGAATATTAACAAAGTACTAGTAGCCACCGAACGGACTCAGTGACTGGAATAGGTACTCCCTGTATCATGATCAGCTTCCTGGCTAGTGCCGTGGAGCTGTCAGACTGAGTTGGCAGTTTGATGAGGTGTCCGAGTGCCTGAGTGAGTGAGTGTTGGAGGTACAGACACTGTAGGTATTACTAGCTAGGGCATGCCGGGGGTCTCGTGATTCACAGATTTTACGCCATCACGAGATCTGATCGATGCGTCCCTCGCTCAGTACATGTAGATACCTAGAGTATATTCTGGTATGCTGATGCTGATTGACTAACACAAAATTAAACTCAGGATCAGCTTTCATAATCAGCTTATATAAAAAGACTCAGCTTTTACACTTTCATGTCCAGAATAGCTCAACCTAATATTCATATATTCCCAGCACTCAATAGGCAGTTTCAGCCGTATACGGCCGTACTAATTCACAGTGTAGGCAATGAATATTGGAATAGCTGCAGGTTTACTAAAGGATCTACTCCCCCTACTTGTAGCTGGGCATATCCAAGTCATATATAAAGCTCCATTACCCACCACCGCCTTCTTTCCTTGGATATATCCTCATAGAGCCTACGCTGGGTGTGGACTACACCCTATACCATCCCTTCCTTCCTGCACCTCATTTTAAGTCCACAGGCCAAACAAAAACCGCTGTATTTTTTCATCTTAGGCGGTCTGAACCCCGAAAACATAATAGCAATTAACTCAGGCTCCAGCCCCTATGATAGCCTCGTCCCATGCGGACAAAGCAGCAGGATATTTCGATCGGGAACACTGTACTGCTTGTAAGAGTATATATCAGCCTTGAAGGGAAACCTGTATTAATAATTTAACGGGCTCGTTTCCATAAACCTGATCCAAAACCTTTCGCAATACTTTTCGTAACTGATTTAATCAAGATTATGACTATTAGCGCATTAACCCAGTCCTGTCTTGGCGTCAGTTTCTACAGTCCACCTCAATCTAATTTACCCACACCATCCCTATCAATCTACGCCTCATTATCAAGAAAGCTCCATACGTATTTCAGTTGATTGCATGTACCATTCTCTAGTCTCGGACGCTTATCCTCGAAACTCATTCACCACCACCACCACCACCACCAAAATAAGCTTTCCGTCCCTCCCGGCAGCGCCCGAACCCTAACCCATTCTATGATCCACATGAGCAGCTGTATGATGTGCTCTACTCGTACCTACTTCATGCACCTATATCACAGCTCCAGAGTACATATGTACTCACATCTCACTGAAATCGATGTTCCTGATGTCGCGCAGGGATCATAACCGAGGGAAAGGGGCAAGCTGTTTGGGGGGGAGGGTGGTACCTGAAGTGAGTCACACATTGAATTAGCCACGAGAAAAAAAGATGAGATGAAAAGTCGTCATGGGCTTGAAGGGCTGTGTAGATACATGTACTGTCGTTCACGGGGTATTGGCGGATACTGGTGTTGACGGATTGCAGGCAAAACTTGGCTTGGCTGTCTCTTTTTTGGCCTGTCCGTCAACACCCAGTGTCCGCCAATACCCCGTGAACGACAGTACCGCAAAAACTCGAATAATTCGTTATCTCCGCCCAGGGATTATCTCTCGAGTGATTGGTTGGGTGACATCGATCTTCATCAGGTGTTTCCCATAGAAGTAACTTTGATCTCACGGAGCTAACGAATTATTCGAGTTTTTGCGGTACTCTCGTTCAGATATGTATGTAGAGCGAAATGGGATTTGAGAATTTAAGGGGAGGGCGGGGGAATATCATGTGAGACCGCGTGAACGTGACTGTACAGGTGTGTGTAACAAGCCTCACGCGGAAACTTAAGTTGAATTCTTGGTTTTGAGCCTGACCACCACCACCCTCATTATTCATTTATTGCCGTTTATCACAAGGCATGCAATAAAATAAAACAAAACAAGTATGCAGGAAGGCAGGTATCAGTACCGCAAACCTAGCCGCGGTGGTCAGCACACAACTGCCCATGGGCAGATAAAGAAAAAAAAATTCCAATATTAAGATAACAAAGTAACCAGCACTTACACTTTTCCCCTCCTCCATCTCTTCCTTTCTTCCCCGTCCGATCTTTTTTGCGTGCTTCATCAAAGCTCCAACCAGATAAAAGAACAAAGATGTGCACGTCACTCTTCTCTCTCCTACATACACTCACCAGCTTCATATGCGGCGCCCCCGCCCGGCCACCAATGCGCCGTTACGCATCCGACATCAGTGCCCCCCGAAGGCTAGAGGAGGACGATGCCGGGTATGTGGCGGACTCGTCTTCGTCGTCGTCCGAGTACGGGGACGGCGAGGAGAGGCCGCTGCTGAGGAGGGAGACTGAGTGGTGGGCTAGCGCAGCGCCGAGTGCGAATGCTAGTGTTGAGACTGTGGTGGCCGTGGGAAAGGTGAAAGAGGGGGGTGCACCAGTTGCGGGGTCGTCGGGGGGGTTGTGGGCATAGGGCGGTTGGTTTGGGAGTTACTGAAGGTATATCCTGAAGAGTGTTTTTCTTGATCCGGGGTGGAGGTTAACTTGAGGCGTAGTGGTCTTATTTGGCCTATCGATCGACGGCTCGGTTTCCACATTCACATTGTTAGCTATGGGCGCTTCGGGGATTGGTTTAATTTGGGTTTGATTTGGTCTTGTAGACTGTATGTACCAGTACAGCGGAGGGCGGCGGACGGCGCTTAGGTTTCCATCTGTTTGTTTGAGCTATATATTCTCCTTGTACAGGCGTTGAATCAGTGACTTTGCATAGATGGCTATATAATATAGGTAGAGCTTGGACTCACGTGGTGCCATTTATTTCTTTCTTTGTTCGTTCAGCGGCACATGCCGGAGTGAGACTGCCAGAGTGATGGGCTGTGACTGAGACTGAGATTTGTTATGGAGTGATGTGGCATGATGTGTGTTGGTTGGCTGCGATGCACGCTCTATTCCGGATTACTATGTAGACGGTTTCCTCTTACTTCGTCGCTTTCTCGGGCGAGAGTAGGGTCGCGGGGTTGCTAGCCTTGGCCGAGCTGCGTGTGTTGCCGATGCTCGATGCTGGTGAACGTACTTCCTAATGGCCCAGTCGAGCTTGAAATGTTCTAAATAACAAGTGATTGATATTGCGCCCAGCTTCGGCCGCCTAGTCGATAGTTATCGATAGGCTTTAAAAGGGAATAGGGGACGGGGCATCGATAGGGGAGCTCTTGAGGATTACTAACAGATGAGATCGAGGACCTTAAGTAGATGGCCATGGACAGGTTATGTAACGAACACTTCGATCCCAAGGACTCAAAACTCCTACTTTCCATTACCTTGAGTTCAAGTGCGGCCAGAGGATATATACCCAAAGCCTGCCAACACCAATTGCCAAGAATTCGAGTTTCTTGATTGTCTCGGCTCATCCAGTCAGCGAGATCACACCACCTCCGAGAGCTAGCCACCCGTCGTTTCTCGTAGCCATCGGCCGAGGATAGCAAGATGTAGCTACATGTACTTACATAGCTATAAACACCATGCGTGCGCACCACCGAGACCATATCAGCCACCGCATTAAAACGGGAAAGGGGTATCATACTGACCATATTGTCAGGTCCCGAACAGTCCAGCAGCGACTGACCACACGGAATTCACACCATCACGCTCCACAGACAGCTATAAACTGGAGTTAGGAAGATCTTAAGATTGACGACGATTAAATTAACGGATGGTCCGCCGGAGCCGAAATCGAAAGACTAAGAAGCATCTGTGAATGCAGCGGTAAAATGGAAAGTCTGCGAGTGTGGCTTCAAGGAGATCTTACTCTGAGCTTTAACTGTACCAGCTACTGTGTACATGTATGTATACGTTTTTTGTATAATGAAACCAATACCACGGTGGTCAGTAACCAAAGGTACACGGATGTACGTCTCTTTAGACCACCTTATATTCAACACGCGGCACTCGCAGCACCCCGGACCATACGGGACACCGCCTCTAGCTCGGTCCCCAAGACCGTGCGGCCCGAGGAGTATCCCGAACTTTCCCGTCATCAGCCCGTCTCGTCCAGCTGCTAGCAGTTGTACACCGGCATACGTACCGGCCAGAGACATCGAACCTACCCACAAAAGACCACCAAAATTAGTAAGGCGACTCATAGCCCCTAGCCCGAGCCCTTTCCGAAGATATATCATCAGTTCGACCATCAAGTAAAGTCTGTATAATAAAAAGAAAAACCCCCACCCAATCAGTATTTTGTGTTCAGTCATAGAGTGATGAGAGTTATGCATCCCGCTAGCTCTGCCATACACCAGCACCATATCGCCTGGTGAGTACTACATTGGGTGATCATGTGGGAATCCCAGGTACTGAACTCACCCTTCCATTTTGGTGAATCTTTTGGCCCGTCGTACTCTACAGTCATGAACAATCACTCGATTTTGAAAACTCTACAGGTGGACAGAACGCAATCCTCTTATTTATCTAACGGATACATGTACTCAAGCACCGTCCCTTATTTATTCCCCAACTGCCCCCTTTCCTCCCAAAACCCAAATCCTCCCGGTTTGATGGAATCAGTCCGGGAGTTCACCTCCAGTAACCCCGAGCCTGATCGAACCGCATCCGACAGAAATTCCCCAACCTCTAGGTAGTAATGATCTCCAAGTATTATATTAGCACATAAAGTCGACAATAACCTACATCCTGGGTAATCGACCTACCAGTTTCGACTCTGGACTTCAAACACCACATATCATATCAGGACATGTGCTGGTAACTTGGGGGCGAGGCCTCGCTGCCGGGCGAGGTTTGAGCATGCCCGGGATTGTAGGAGATGAACTCCTGGATTGGCTCTATGAAGCTGGGAGGATAAGTTTCGGGAGGTTAGATATGGCCTGGGGATTAGTGAAGGGGAGTGGACGGGGACGGCTGGTGGATGTTTATAAATGATCATTCTTTACTGATCGACCGCTCTGGTTTGTTTGCTTCTTGGCTTGAATTCGTCTGTTTGGCTTGCCCTACTGCTGTTACCCGTATAATATAATGTTGGTTTGAATTTTCGCGCATTGCAGCTACCCATGCAATCGATTGTCATAGCCTCCGGGCTTCACATAATTAATGAATTATCAATCAATCATACCCGTGCAATCGACCATTCCTTTTTTTAAGCTTATAAGATTTAAACTCACTGCCCAGTGTTTTGCACCAATTTTCACCGTGGGTAGAAGACCCTTCGCCCTAGTTTGCTCAATATGATTCACCAAAAGAGCGTTACGTATACAGGATACTAGGAAGTTCAAAGTTGTCAATGCTACTGTATAGGGTTAGGGTTACGATGGCACATGTGCTTCAGAACACAAAGAAGGACACCAGAGAATGGAAGCGAGCACAAGTCACGACGTGTCCATACATGTATTTACACATGATGTATGTAGGTACTGTACCTACATAGACTACGTACAATCAAGTCTAGGCCCACTTACTCTACAGAACCCCATTCTCCTTCTCCTGCTTGCTCCCATCCATCACAATTGCATCTTCGATCAGGATTGAGCCAATCCATCCGTCTACCGCACCCTCTCTCAGTATTCAACCACGGTTTAGCCCGATGCTAAAGTCAAGAATCATAGTAAATCCGAAACATCCGTGACCCCGCGCCATGCGTGCACCCCACGAGCTGCACATCTTCCAGGGATATGTAGCATGACAACCGGTTAGATATCGATTGGTAGCCGCGGCCAGGGCCCCATCCATACGGAACTTCATCGGTAGAATAGAACACTCTACGGGATTATCGTTCATGTATGTCTATTCTACATAGCGATACATGATACAAATCTGGCACTCTCAAATTACTTATTTCTTGCTACAAGTACATAGTACATGACCACACCTATCACGATACCTATGCCGCAGTATAGCCTCCATCAACTGCCCAATCAACTGCGGTAACGAACTTGGCTTTTTCAGAGCTCAAGAACGCAATTACCTCGCCGACTTCCTCCGGCTTCCCTACTCGCCCCAGTGCAGATCTTTCCATACGCTTGTTTACCCGCTCTGCCACCTCGGCGTTTCCACTGTTTGAGGGCGTCTCGATGAACGCTGGGCACACTGCGTTGACCCGAATTCCGTCGGGACCGTGCTCAAAGGCTAAATCGAACTGCTATCAGAACAGGCTCTGGTTGGAGCGGATGTGACAATATGACATACCTGCGCTCTTTGTAAGCCCGACGACGGCATGTTTTGACGGCACGTAGGCAGATGCATATGGAGCGAGCGCTCGCAGCCCGCCAATAGAGGAGATGTTGACGATGGAGAGGTTTGCAGGGTAGTTGTTGGTCGGTTTGGCCTTGAGCATAGCACTGATCTCGGCGCGCTGGGAGAAAAATACGCCCCGGGCGTTGATGTTCATGGTGCGTTCCCATTCCTGTGTGGAGAGGTTTCCGAGATTTGTTTCCGAGTGTTTTGGAATCCCGCCGGCCTAGACGGCGTTATTGAGTGAAGACTGATACATGAAAGACGCATTGTAGGGCAATCAATACCTGATCCGTAAAACTCACACCGGCCGAATTGACAGCATAACTGAGTGACTCGAACACACCCAGTGCCTGCTTGACCATTGCGTTTACACTCTCTTCATTGGAAACATCAACATGGATTGCGATTGCTCTATAGGCTGGGTTTGTGGCGTATTTTTTTGATTCCTCGGCTGCAGTAGTTGCGGTTTCGAGATTTATGTCTGCGAATGCTACGCCGGCGGAACCTTCGCGGGCGAATATTTTACCGGTGGCACTGCCGATTCCACCACCTATTCAGGAAGAATCATGTGAGTATAACACTAGCGGGTTGGGGTGAAGCTCAATGAATGAGATGAGGTCAAATTACCTCCACCGGTGATTAAAGCATAGCCTGGAAGCGACATTGATATGATGTTGAGGGGAAATTTCTGAGACTGTGTGATTTTGTGGGATATTTGCACACGAATAATCGATCACGACATTTGACCTGGGATGGGATGCGAAACCTGGCCACCTTCTTATATTATAATAGCGGGGACCGTTATCATATCAAACCCAATTTACTCCCCACCATCCCATCACATTGTCCCGCGGATTGTTTTCAAGATCGGTGCAGAATAAACAGGTTGAAGAAAGTACCTGTCATATATATCGCTTAAATGATTGGTGGTACATACCTAAGTACATAATCCCCCCGAGGGAGATCTACACGTCCTGAGGGTGTCGGACAAAGAATTTATCCTGCAGAATCAATTCATATCATGCCCGCCCTCTGGAAATAGTCAGAGGGCGGGGCCGGGGATGATAGGTCTCATCTGTTTTAAACAAGTCGTTTAAATGTTTCCGTAGGTAATTGATTGATTACTTCATTAATTGTATGTAGTTTCCGTAGATAAGAGTGTCTGTACTCGCAATTTCACAGCGTTTCCGGACGCAACTGCTATTGCATACACAGAAAAAACCCGCCAAGGCTATCTTTTGTATGGCATGCAATAGTGGTCGCGTCCGGAAACGTCAAAAAACTACGAGTAAGTACTCTAATATATTGATCTGCACCTCCAAGCCATAAGCACACTTTAACTTTTGCGTCCCTGTTTCTCGATGATCCAATCATTGGCAGGGTTTCTATAACCGAAGAGAAAATTTCAGCCGGTCAAGATAGGGCTTATCCTCAAGCTGTGCGTTATTGTCGTCGATTATTACCAACCCAACCAAAGTGACATACAACTAACCAGCTTTTGAAGAAAGGTCTGTGCGCTGGTAGAACAGTCGGAAATAAATACATACTCGAGTGTTGTACATATGGACCTTGCTTTTTGCAACTCTCATGTCACTAAACGGGGAGATGTGTAGTTGATGCTCGGGGGTAGAGTACTGAGGACTTTAACTTACGTATCCGTCAGTGAGTACAGACATGTACCAGCGCCTATGTAGATTACAACCTCCAGAATGAATTGGACTTTGCGGAGCGCAGTGCCTACTTGTGCACACTCAGTGCTCTAAAGCAGCAACTCGATAATTATCACACATACACTGCATGCTCTATCGCGATTTCGTAACAATGTTTCAAACAAATACCACCTGCCATGCATTGCAGCACACATCGTCTTCGTTGCAACACCACCACCCCAACGCTACACGACATAGCCAGCGAGTGTCTGAGAGAAAAAGAAAACAGGGTTCAAACGCCTATCTACACTACCTATGAAGTAATCAATCAATCAATCAATATCTACACTGCCTGCCCGAACGAGGGCACCGAGTGATACACCATGACCAGCTGTTGTCTATCTACCTAACCGTTTCCGTACCCGGGCCCCCTAACAAGCTTTCCTGTCTTGGCCCGCAATTGAGACATCTCTCCCAACCGAACCACCGTCATAAGCGCTGTAAAGTAGCTGGGGGGAAGTAATTAGTGTAGGGCAGAGACCAAACCTAACAATCTAGACCTTCCACGTTCTAGAACGCCTCCCGCCCCCGGCGCGGCCCCTATATATTCGGGCCGGGGGGGTTCAAAAATGCTTTGACCAGATTGCGAGGAGAAGAGACGAGAGGGATTGGGGGGGGGGGGGGCGCCTTTAATTCGC